GAACAAAAAAATCAATCCAATACATGTAAAAGTAATTCTAGAAATACACGATTCAAAATTTCCTATGATGATAATGTAGCCTTAAAAAGCTATGAAAATCACTAGTGATCGTAAATCCATGTGGAATTGCCAGGGAATCGTCAATAATTGAATGAAAAATGCACAACTCGAAGTTTGATGAAGAAAAATCTTCTTTTTAGTATTACCTACATTAAGAGTTCAAAAACTAAGTGAAAATCCATTTTAATATGTACCAAAAAGGAAAACACGTATTCATCGTGGAATTGTCGCTAATTGTGTGTATTGAAAAATTATTAAATGAAATGGGTGATTCAGAATTTGTGGTATGTTAACATGGCATTTTAAAATATCAAGATTTTGAAAACCAAACAGAAATCTAACAAAAGCTACAAAAATATCGCAACCACGCAAACCATTCGAATTTAAATATTGCTGATTGAAATTAGGGTTAATTATTGTCTATTCGGTAATTTTTTTTTGAATAAGAATGTTTTAATGTTTGTTTACCTTAAAGATCTATTATCCAGAAAAATCTATTTTCCGGCCTTGGCAAAGTCCCGGCGATTCTGGATATTAAAATTTCCACTGTATATATATCACTGAAGTTCATCCTCCAAAATAACCAAGGACTTCCTAAACTATTTTCAGTCATCTACCTTTATTCGAAAACTTGCAATTCAATTCTAAGCTAGATGTTTTGTTACTATTAATGTAGCCCTTAGAATATTTGTCATATCATATATTACTGAAATTCACCTAGTTGCAAATTGGGTGTCTACGTGAGTTAATATGTTGATAAAGACTTATAGAAAATTATGTATTTTTGAACTTTGTCATTTCAGTGGCTGCCACTAATAAAATCACTGAATTATAAAATCAGCTGTTTTTTAAAAATCAAATCAGCAAGAATAATAGAATTATTACAATATCAAATAATGTTAAAACTATATTTACATTAAAATTATTATCCTATCTCAGTTTTATAAAATCTAACTTTTGGAGGACTCAAGGTTTAATCCTTTGTGTTTGGGGTTCTTTCAACAGTTAAAAAAAAAATAATAATGATACAACTAATAAAAATTTGCAAGACAAAACTTATTTTTTGCGCATTTATCATACAATACCTGGATACCACTTCCTTTGAATAAAGTGGTTGTTAAACACTAAGGTGTAAAAATTTTAAGTTTTAAAGAGGTAGAAGATATAAAAGTGATAGTGCTACCTGACTAGATTCTTTGAGTGCAAAGTGTTAAAAAAAGGGTAGGGAATTGATTTTTCTTTATTGAATAATTTGAATTGCCTTTCGAGTCACATATTCTGAAAGGTGTTTAGAATATGGATATCAAATTTGAGTCTGCCACTTGCAAATAAAAGAAACATAGCTACCGATGTGGATTTGCACTTCTTAGAGAAAGGTCAGATTTAAAAAGACTAAAACCTATAGGGAAAAGTAAAAGAATGCAAATAAAAACTGTTTATGAATATAAGGAAGTTACTGAATATAAATTTAGTAAATTTCCTTTATTGATCTTTTTTGGTGTATTTCAATGACAATGATCATTAAAAAATTATTTTCTCTTACAGTTAAGAAATAGCTGTAGCTGTTTTGAAAAGGAAATTCAAATGCGAGTAAACAAAATAATAGATAGAATGCTTTACCCATTCAATTAAATGAACAAAATAACTAAAGGTTATCTATTCTGCTAGTTATTTCATCAAATAATAAAAGTGGGATCAGAATATTGATCAACAATTTTAAACTAATTTGGACTTGTGAGCTCACATTATAGTATAATTCAGCTATGTATAAATGTAAAAGGTACCTTCATTTTGAGTTAAATTTGTTACCCATGAACATGCGTCAAAGATAAGCTAAGAATGTATTTAAATTTACTCTTCAAACTTAAGGTAATATGGAAAGTTGCATAAATTCTTATAAGCTTTTAGATGATATTGGATCTTTATTTTCAAATTCTGCAAACATTATGCCAATGCTTTAAATCCTTTCTGTAAATTGAAAAATGTAGCTCATCTTTAATCAAAATGTCAAATATACATTAAAACAATGAAAAGAAAATATAATTATTAATTAAGCTTAATATGTATGGTATTTAAGTTTAATATGTATGGTTATAAATCAGCTGCTTTATGAAATCAAAAGTCCTCAGAATGTGATTTTAATAAACAGTGGTCACTATCATATACCAAAAGTTTTAACATTCATAATTTAAATTTATTCAGCTGTCTTTCTTTAACCCTCCTTTGCTTTGGATGAAACATTTGAATTTATTTCAAAGCATATGACTGTTGCATTGAAGGTTGGCATATAACAATCTTTTGCACAACCTGCAAGTTTTTTGTGAGAGGCAGATTAGAAATTCGTATGTGAATGATATTGTCAAAGAAGGAAATTAATTTTTGCATAACATTTCAATCAAATCTAACATTTCAAGCATTGAAGATTAACCATCGTATGCATCTTTGTCATCTACTATTTTCTCAACTTACATGGTTGAACTGTGTCACGTTAAAGTTATTTAAAACATTTTATTGAGAATCACTCTTTAAAAAAATTCTTTTTCCCTGTTCTTTTGTGGTGGGCAAAGTTTTCCTGCCCCCTCACCTATTATTCTTTAGGCTTTAAAGTTTAAACTTTGATTTATTATTTTCTCACTGTGAAGAGCTTAAGTTTTATGCTGTATAACCTATAATGTACTGTATATTTCTGAATATAAGCCCATCTGTTTATAAGCCAAAGAGTGTGCTTTTTATTTGAGAAAGCACACAAAAATTCAAAACTTGTATTTTAGTCGACATTTAAAAAAAAGATGCTCTCTTGTAAATAAAATTGTACCCTCTCTCCTGTAGCAATGATAGGTCTAGTAAATATTTCACTGTGAGTAAAAGAAGCATGGTCTTACCAAATTCCTAATTAGAAGATTAAAAAATAGCAGTATTCCTTTCAAATTGTTCTTTTTATGTGTTTTTTTCCTTCAATTTCATTCCTCATTTCATATTTAGACATTCCTTTTTAAATTTATATGTATTTTTATGTTTTGTATGTGCCTTTCATGATATTTTTACTGTGATTATATTTACTAATGCTCAACAAAAGGAAAAGTATTTCTGTATGCAATGTCCTCCTGGAATTTTTGATCTAATCATAGATCCAATTATAAGTCTACCCACCACTTTAGTTTTCAAACATTTTCCAAAAGTTCTTGGCTTACATTCAAAAATATATAGGAAGTATCCTATCTTTTTGTTTTGGGCTATTTAGTTATTAATTATTCAATTTTTTATGAATTTGCCTTAATGCTTATGATTTTGTAATTTCTTGCTTGGGAGTTTTCTACTTGCCATTATTATAGCTACTTGTATTGGTGCAAAAATTAATTTTTTAAGTAATTTATTATTTAATAATGATATAAGATTTTTCTAAATTATATATTTATTTTACATTACAAAATCTGAAACTTTAAGTGAATTACCATTAATTGTTCTTGAACTATAAAATATAAAACTGGTACTTTTTGGAACCTTTTTTCCAATTTTGTTCAAGTTTTATACATTGTTATTTGATACATATAGTACATAATTCAAAATGCGGTAAAAATTTGCATACATAACATTTTTAAAATTATTTATTCATTATCAAATGAAATAATACAACATAATATATATATAATTATAAATATGAATTTTTTGCAGTTAACCAAGTGTTAGATGATAATGCATGGTTTATTGGTTATTCCATTTCGTGCCCAAGAATCTTTGAATTAAAAAGTTATATAATTTTGTGTAATTTTTTTTTCCTCCAGTTCTCTTAAATAGTTCAAGTTATGGCAAAGGCAAAATATACCGAAAGTGAAATTAACATAAGGGTCCTAAACTTATTACTGCTTTCCTGATTAAACTATTGGGGTTACCAAATTGTCTCCTCCTCTTTATTTTGAGTGTCTAAAATCCTTTTTGAAAAAGTACATGCTTGTATTTGATAACACAGATTATAGGTCTACTCTTTGAGCATCTTTATTCATAAGAATCTAAACATTATAGTTACTTTAGTGTTCCATTTTTTTATTTCTCACACTCTACATTAAATCAACTGTAAGGAACTATAGTGTGTCTATCACTGCAAAATTCTAATTCACTAGTATGTAAGACATGTTAACTGAATTCCATGTTGGGGGTACCTTTTCATAGATGAATTTTGACATCGTTGATAGCTACTATCCTCATATTGGTGACCTTCGGATGTGATGTGGACATGCCTGCCTTGTCAGAAACTCTTACTTCGATTTGAACAGGCCTACTTCTATGGATGGTCCACATTGAGCAGTTGACATGCTATTTGTGACTGCGACATTATCCACCTCCTCGCACTGTTGCTATTCGGTATCGATCACACACAGCATACAACGTATTCACTCAGCTTCTAAAGGCAACGCAGGAGCGACCACAACCGTGAACTTAATACAGCTCACGATCACCACTAAAAAAAGTATGATGATCTTAATACAGCTCTCCTGGCTTCTCACAAAACAGCAATGAATCAACTAGTGGTATCCGTTCATCAAATTCTATCAGCTATAATTCTGGTGGTGGAATACTGTAGTGTGTCAACCACTACAAAATTCCAATTCACTAGTATATAAGACATGTTAACTAGATTCTATCTCAACCGGAACTAACCTTACTTTTTTATTATTTCAAGTTTTATGTTTTGAATTTAACTTTTTGTTTATATCAAAATGATGTTATATGAAAGATAAAAGTATTGATTGGAAAAGAAATAAATGATCGTTCAAAAGTTTTCTAAAGGAAATATGCTGTTGTTGCAGTAGGCATAAGCAAAGAATTGTAGATTTTCAAATTTTAATATTTATTTATATTTAAAATCTGTATCTTATTCATAGAATTTAAAAATTATTTTTAATTCTTTTAGTGTATTCTAAAGGCTTTATTTTTTATTCTAGATCCTCATGAAAGTGAAAAAATAACAGCTGATGGTGTAATGAAATTTCTTGAGGATCTTAACCTTTCTCCTGATAGTAGACTTGTTTTAATAACAGCATGGAAATTTAAAGCGGCCACTCAATGTGAGTTTACTAAAGAAGAATTTATATGTGGTATGAATGAACTAGGGTAAGAAGTTTTGAAATAATATTTTTAACTATTTATTGTTTTAATTGCAGGAATAATAAAACGGGACTCATGAATGCCTAAGCGCAGTTACATGTTTTTGAACATGTTTATTTTCTATTTTTCCACCTAGCTTTGCCCTGATTCAACTTCGTCATTTAGCTTTGAGTTCTCTGTGCAAAAATAATTTTCATTGTAAGTATAGTTCGTTGACCAGGAGTTGACCACCTCATCGGAGGAAGAGTTAATTTCAGCTTGGAAGTAAGAGGAGAAAGGTCTCCGCGCTTAAAATTGAGACAACCCTTAATGCACGCCAAACGCAAACAGTGAATTCTTTTTCAGTCACTTACTTCGCTTTATCTTCTGCTATTATACCTTTCGTTACTCTAGATAATTAAATATATTTTAAATTTAAAAACTGCTGTTTTCCTATCAAAATGTTTCAAAAAGGACAAACTATTCACTCAAAAGAGAGAAATATCATCAAATTTATGAAATATTTAATGTAAAAAAATGCTCTTAAAGATTTTTAAATAAACATTTTTGCCGTATGATCGCCAAATAGTAACCTTGTTTAAGATTGTTCGCATCCTTCTCCCAAAAATAGCAAAATAGTATCGTCGGATACCACATGAGGAAGGCGGAGCCAAGTGCCAACTTCTGGTGAACGAACTATAGCTTGCGAACCAGAAATCCTGTGCCTTTGAAAAGACCTTCAGTATGAGTTTGTTGATTTTTAATGATCCTTAAAATTATGTATGTATTATTAAATATTAAAAAAAAATCAGTTAAGTTTTCTTTACTTTATAAAAAATAATCTTGAAATATCTTTCTTATTCTGATATTGAGATTTAATGTAAATAAACTACTTGTGATTTTTCGAAAAATGTGCTCTTGCAATTCTTTAAATATAGGGGACTGGACATCATGCTCAGCCTCTCCTCTGGATTTCTGACCATATTGGTTGGACCCTAGACGACTGGAAAACTGTTTCTTGGCCAGATGAGTCACAATTTCAGCTGTGAGAGCTTATGGAAGAGGGTGGGGCAGATGAAGCCATGAACCCTAGAGTTGTCACTGTGCAATCTGGTGGTTGCCCTATAATAGGCTGGTTTTTCATGGCATGAACTGGTTCCTGAGGTCCAATTGCACCATTAGGTTTAGCTACTTAGAGCATTTGCAGTCATTCATGGATTTCATGTACCCAAACAACGAAGTAATTTTTATGGATGACAATGGGCCGTGTCACCAGGCCTTAATTGTTCATGACTGGTTTGACGAACATTTTTGGCAATTCCAGTGAGTAATTTGGCTGCCTAGATCGCCCGACATGAATCCTATTGAATATCATCATAGTTGGCCTGATAGCCCAATATGGGCCAATGCCTTCCTCCGAAGATTTCTCTGTATTGACTACCGATTTATCTATGATCTCCAATTCTTTTCATTAATTGCAAGAAAACCTGACTCCACACAGTCAGCCCATCTTAACCACGGCCTTCCCCACTTTCTTGTTCCAGTGGGTCTATTGAAAACTTATGGGATCTAATCTAGAGGTCAGTTGGTGCATAAAATCTTGCACTCGCAACATTTTTGCAACTTGTTGAGTCCATGCCACATTGAGTTGCTGCACTTCTTAGATGCAGGAAGTCTTACACAATATTAAGAGGTATTCTGTGACTTAAGTCAACTCAGTGAATATTTTGATGCATTCAGTTAATAAAAATGCTTTTGTTAATGAACATTTTTTCTCTAGATTATATCAAATAATTTATTTTTGATAAATGATGAAATATTCCTTTTGAATTATGTTACATTACAATAATAGTAAATTTTGAATTTCAGATGTGATTCTATAGAAAAATTGAAGCATAAACTGCCATCTCTTGAAAATGAGCTAAAAGATGCTGTGAAATTTAAGGACTTTTATAATTTTACTTTTAATTATGCAAAAAATCCTGGTCAAAAAGGTTTAGGTAAGTTTATAAAACAGCAGTACTTTGAAATTAATTATATGAAAGACTAGTGTTGTTTGGTAGCTGTTTTTCTTAATTATCAGATATTAACATTTTTAATAACCTATGAATAAACTACAAATCCCCAAAAAATATAAGTCTAAATGTGCTTATTGTCCTTTTGAGAGTATCTTTCTTTTTTTGAAAAATAAAGTGGTAGCACAAAGGTTTCATTATCAACATTTGTTTTGGAGATATAAGATAGTTCTATGTACCATAACATAGTAGTAATAGAAATATTTGAGCTTGAATTTGAAGTCAAAACACAGTGATTTTTTAAAAGAACAGAAAAAATATATACTTGATGTATGCAAATATGTTCTACCACTTTTTTTTGCATAATTCTGTATGATATGTCGACCACTATGTGTGGTAATACATTAATAAGTTATGATACACATAAATCCTGCTTTGATCTACCAAAAAGTCATGAGCCATAACGTAATAAATTTATGAAGTTTAAATATGTCTATTTTTATGTTTTGACAAGCATGTGGATTTTTTCAAAAAGGTTGTGTTTAAATAAAATTTTACTTATCAGTATTTAATCAAATTCAATATTGACCTTAAAAATTAGTATATTTTGTTTTATAAATCTTGAGTAATGCATTTATAAGAAAATAATTTTTTTAATTTAAAATTTTATTTCATATATATATTTTCAAAAATGCATAAATTACATTTCTCTTTTAGTGCAGGTTTAAATATATTATAATCTTAGCATTGTAAAAAAGTAGTACAATAATAGTATATACTTTTTTAGTAACATATTCAGTATTGTATTTTTAAATATCTTAATATTGATTAAATATTTCTATATATTTAATATTGATATATTTCTTATTTTATCAATATTGAGTATTGCATGTAAAAGAAAATAAGCAATTTTTTTAATTTCAAATTTTATTTTATAAAAATTTTTTTTAAAAAAATGCATAAATTATGTTTACCTTTTAGTGTAGGGTTAAAAAATAGTTTAATCTTAGCCTAATAATAGTATTGAATGTAAGTAGTCTTTTTATAATATGGAATATAAGTGGTATAATATTATATTATTGAATACAAATAGTGCAGTGGGAAAACAAAAGCCAATTTTCGCTGATGATATTTTAAGTTAAAAAATTAGACATAAAAACATACTTTCTATTAATAAACATACCCTTTTTTTTGATGGATTTGGGTTCCTGACCCATAAAATATAGATGTAGTGGCAATCTGGGAAGTATGGTCACAATAGTTGTGTCAGGAGAAAAGTCTAAAGTTTGGTCATGTTAATTTTACTTTTTTGTGCATTTCGTCATCTTGAGAACTTTATTTGCGAATTAACCTTTTGGCTACGGCAACAAAGATAAAAAAAATTCTCCTCTTACCACGGCGCTTTCTTTCCGAAATTCATCCCCCCACCTAGTCTGTGGGAGGTAACTACTTTAACCAGTTATGAATAGGAAATATTTTGTTGCAATTTGTACCTCACGTTTCCTGCAGGGAGAAGAAGCAGGGTTGTAGACCAGTAGTTATTTTTGGTATAGTTATACATATTCTGGCATACTTTTTTTTTTCTAGTGAAGAGAAAAGCTAAAACATAATTTTTTAAAGCTTTTTCTAAATATGTTAAAAATTTCTCTAAAAAACAAGCAAGTTTTCTTTTATAAGTTATTTAAAATTTTTATTATTTAAAAACAGGGTGTATATTAGTGATCTCGATTCTTGAAGGATTATAAATAAACTTCTACAAGAGATACATTTATAGATAATTTTCTTCTAAGTATATTAGCAATTTTTCTAAAAAAGAAGCAAACATTTTACAAATTATTTAAAATTTTTATTTTTTTTAAAACATGTATTTTGATGTTCTTGATTCTTGAAAGATTGCATAGAGACCGCTACAAAAGAAACACTTTACTTTGATAAATCGAGCCTTGTTTGAAGATTTATTATTGTCTTAAAGTTATAAACAAATTTATCACATTAGATATTGTTAATAAAAGAAGCTTTCAAAACTGGTTGAAATGCAATATGAATAAAACAGTGAACGGCATAATTTTTATTTTATATTTTAAAAGTTTATTTCATTTATCGGTTTAAAAAATGATACCAAATGCAAATTTTTATTTTCCAGATTTTGTTTAATTTTTTTACTTGTTTTTCTCCTTTAATATTGCATAAAGTGCCAGTGTTTTCATCATAGAAAAAAATGGGTGACAATTTCTCACCCTTTCTCAAAAACAGGGTGAGATTTCAGAAAGTTAAGTGAGATTTCTAAAAACTGAAAAAATACAAATAGACTTGGAAAAAAAATCGTTTCTTTTATTATAATACATTTTTAACGTCTTCTATTTTTTAAAGCATTGAATATTTTTGCTGCATCATCATAGAAGATTTTGCCTTTACTAGGTATTTGTCCATCTTACATTAGTGTATAAAAAAATTTGAATGTCTTATATGAAAAACCATACCTACAGTAAACACGTGGTTGCAGAGAAATGTGTTCTGAAAGGGGTTCCGTGGTTCGGAGGGGTTGTGTTCTTTTGTTCGAAAAGGTTCTGAACAATACCTACTGGTAAATAGGGAAGCTAGATAACGGGGCAAGTGTTGAAAATAATGAAGATCCAGGAAGAAAAGTGAAACTGATTTTATTCTAAATGACGTAATTCGAAGCTTTTTCCAAAATGCGAGAATTTCGCGAATTTTGAAATTGATTTATAGAGTGCGCGAATTTCTCGCGGTAATCATTTTTTAATTCGAGAAAAGAAAAAAATTTGCGAGATTCTCGCGTTCTCGCGCTGTAGTGAAAACACTGAGTGCACTCTTAAAAAATTGAAAACAAATAGCATAAGAGAAAAAAAATTATATTTAAATCATTAATATTTTTATTACATAAAATTAATTTTGAAATATTGCTTGTTGGACAAATTGAATACGTTTAATGCTAATTATTTAAAATGCCTTTTAATAAACGGGATATTTCTGCAATAATATTTCGTACATAGAACTTATCATTTATTCATTTAACTACGTTATTTATTTTTCATGCTTGCACTTAATTATTAAAATATTCAGTTTTTTCCTTTTTTTAATAAAAAATACTGGTGATAAGAACAAAGCTATGTAGCTAATACTTATGAGATTACGTGCATATGACAGTTTCTGTGTACATAATTCTAATACATTTTTTTCGCTAATAGAAAATGAACTTGTAATTTTTCTTAGCAAAAATTCGCGTGTCTATATGCCTAAAAATTTTATGTCACATTAAGAAATAATAAAATAAATTAAAAAAGTAAAAGAAATTCAAAACAAAATTTTGGAGCATTTGATATCTTTAAAATTTCAATAACGGTACATATTGTACGCTAAATGTTTCATTGTATCCAATGTTACATCGCTAAGATTTGATAATTTGTTTATAATATAATTAGAAGTTTTACGTATTTTTATTTCTGTTAAAAGCTGCAAAATTCAGTTCAAAAGAAAGTATCTGTTGATCTGAAATCTTTTACAACTAATGCATTAAAAATAAAAAGTTTCAAGTCATCTATCAGACACATCCATACAAGCTCAATTGATATACTGAATGCAAAACATGCACTTACTTTGGTGATTGTATGGTCCTTTCTTCTGGTGTGGGGTATTAGCTATTGTTAAAAATTTTGAAAATGACACACCCCGAAATATATTATCAATATTTCTGAAGATCAACAAAGCAGTTTTATTGCAGTTTTATATACTTAAGAAAAGAAAAAAAGAAAAGCTGTTAATTCACAAAACAGGGAAATAACACGATTGGGTTGAGTAATTAATCTTCTTTTAAGTTTGCTATTTTATTCTTTTCTTATAGCATAATGATATTACGTAGAGCAGAGCTGAAACACTAAATACGTTAAACATTTATTCCCTTTTTTTAATTTGAAATAAACCATATAAAATATTTAAGTATACACCAACAATAATTTATTTAAACAAAGGTAATTTTTATTACTATGCAAAAAATTAGCCTCAACTTATACTTTAAACCAGGAGTCCCCAACCGTTCCGTACCTAAGAGCAAATACCAGAATATCGGTCGAATGGCGGGCACCATTTATTTTTTTAAGATAAATTTATAGTTGATAGACATAGGTAATAATACACACTACATACAAAGCACAAAAAATTTAATTTTACAAATTAATTTAACTTAGGGATATAATTGGTATTAATATTCTTGTGTAAAATAAATTATTACTAAATTGCTTTTTCAAACCATACAAAGTATAAAAATTATTTATAAAATATATAAAATACAGTCAATGTGATCTTTGGCATTGCATTTCACTGGCCAGCACTTCATAATTGGGAGAATACGGTGAAATTCCTGCTCGCAAGCAATCGTCAAGGTGTTCATCTGTAAGTCGGGATCTATATTTTGATTTTATGATATTTATTGTTGAAAGCAGTGATTCACACAAGTATGTGGAACCAAAAAACGACTTTATTTTATATGCTGCTCTTTTTAAGAATGAAATTCATTTCTGACGACTATATTCCAGAATTTCTCATCTGATACAATAGTTTTGAGGATAATGTCATTCTGAAGATCCAAAATTTCTATCTCCACTTCTCGCCTTACTTGAAGAAATTCTGAAATGTGTGTTGCTATTTTGGTCACGTTTATTTGGTTGGTAAAAGGATTTACAAAATATGTAATCAAATATCTCGATTATATAAAATTGTTGAAAGCGCTTTTCAAATTGATCATGCATGGAAAATGCACAAGAGACTTCATGTTCAAATGTGATATCCACAAAACTAGCTTAGCTCTGAACGAGTTTATAGCCCCTATCATTCTTGCTATATGTTTGTCCATTCCCTTCAGCTCTAAGTTTCAATTATTTAATTTTTCCGTTATGTCTGTTATGAAACACAAATCTGTTAGCCAAAGGGGATCTCTTAGATCTAAAAATATTTGATTTTTGGCTGCAAGATAATTTTTTATTTCCTCAATTAATTCTAGAAATATATCAAGTATTTTACCTTTACTGAGCTAACGTACTTATGTAAGTATTTGCATAGCATTTTATGGGGAAATGGAAAACTGAAATATTTTATCTTTTGGCACAAGCAGCGGGCGCACCTAGACCGATCGACGGGCGCCATGGTGCCCGCGGGCATAGGGTTGGGGACCCCCCCTGCTTTAAACAATTAAAATAATGAAAAAATATTTTTAATGCAAAAGTTTCATTAAAATTTTTTATAAAATGTTATTATTATCAGTAATAAAAGCTGCTTTAATTAGAAAAAAACAACATATTTTTAAGATTGGGACGATTTGTTTCCGTAACATTTGGAGGTGGGGTAGTGTTGAGCGCAATTTAATTAAAATCATATAGTCTTTTTAATTGAAATCATATAGGATGATCAAAGTAATTATTTGTGCTAATTAACTTTTTAAGAACTCTTTTTATGCATTAATTTCTGAGTTTAACTTATGCATTTGATGAAAGTAAAGAATTTATCCGACCATCAGAATTATAAATTATCATCTCTTCAAATTATGAACATTTCTGTTTATCAATAAAAAAAACTTTGTTTTCCGTTTTTTACATTGCCATTTCGTTTTTAAACCAGATAAAATGATTCGGAACAAGATGAACACATTTCACACAAGATTGCTTTAATTTTATTTACCTTTCCACTTTTTTTAAAAAATTTTTGAGATGTATACTTTTTTAATTGTGAAGATGATCTTTCTGCAACCAATCTTGAAGATATTCATTGAAATTTTTTGTAGCAATTAAAATTCATTGTCATGACAAACCATTAAAAATATTTTTTTTAATTAGTGAAAAAGCTTTGACTTTTTCTCATTTTTCGTTTTGGAATATTCAAAGAAACTATTGCTCTTCGTCATAATTTTGTCATATATAATTACATGGCGTCATGAATACATATATTTATTTGACATTCTGTCTGATCAGAAGTTTCAATAGGCCAAATATTCAGAAATGAATTCCTTTGAAAATATGGCTATATTTCTAAGGACCCTATCCATATTGGAGTTTGGCAACTTTGTCTTTTTAATCGATGTATATAGAGAAAAAATTGATGGATATTTGTTCAATTGTGACTTTTTAAAATGTGGGTATATGTCCCAATAAAAAAGTCTATAATTTCCTTCAATTTCCATTATGCGAGTTGAAATTTTTAGATTTAAAACTAATAAATAATTTTCATTTTTATAATGATTTGTCTTGAAAAGACCTTCCTAACAATATAGTAACCGGATTCAAGAGGTTTGAAAAATTGGTATTTTATTATTAGCATTATATTTAGAGGAAAAAGGACAAGAGTAGACAACATGAATAGCTTTTTTTCCTAGTCAAATTTCCTCTGTGAGATGTCGTAAATAGGTAACATTAACATGCAGGGAGCAAAGAAAGAATCACCCTGAATAACTTTTGATTTAATGATCGTATCTTTAAATTCTAGGACTCCATTTTAATATTTCGAGGGTGTGACTTCAAATATGCTAATCAATTTATTCCAACGATATTTTATTTTAAGTTACGTATTCAGGCAGTAAACATACTTTCTCTGAATAAACATAACTTTTGTTCAACGGATTCGATTTTTTAACCCCTGTGTATAGGGGGTAGCAGTAATCTGGGAAATATGGTCCTAAGTTTGGACCCCCAAATGTTAATTTTATTTTTTCGTATTTCGCCATAGCTGGAGAACTTAAAGGAATTAAAAAAAATTTGCACGCAATTATAAAATACTTTTATCCAAAGATAATGCGATACGAAAAATAACTTTTTGTAAATATTTATAATTTTTTTTATTTAATAGTAGTCTGAAAATTTTTTAATTGTACGGTACACAGTTTTTTGCCTCATTTTAAAGTATTTAATTCCACGTGAAAAAAATAGAAAATTTGAGCGAAATTGGTTGAATAGTTCCTCAGAAATCTAGTTTTATGCATGTGACTTTTTTAAAATTTAATTTTTAAGGATTAGCCGTTTTCGCTCAAATTTTGTATTTTGCCCTCTAGAAAACTTACAATATTTTGTAATCCAATTTATATGTGAACAAGTAACTTGTTTTCATAAATATATTCGCCAACATGATGCATAAATAGCTGAAATGACGGTTAGAGATTGAGTACAGAAATCCCGAGATGCGAAGTTACGGCATTGGGAAGAAGTAAGAGGACTGGCTCAGAACAGGAGGAAGGCTTTATGTGCCAGCTGATGCGAAGAGGATAGACAGAGATAGATTTGACTGATTTCCCTTAAATTTTGCTTTTTAAAAAATTACATTCTTTGAAATTATGAAAAGAAATATATACCTTACAATTCGAAATTTTTCAACTATTATCAAGTAAAATAATAAAAATAAATAAATGATTATCAGAAATTATTTTTTGCATGGAAATTTCTTTTAATAACGAATTTTATAACGGTGCAAATATTTTTTGATTTGCTGAAAAAGTTCTCAAGATATAGCAAATTAAGCAAAACGTAAAATTAATATTAAAGGGTTATTATTAATATTAATACGAAGTAAAATTAATCCTGATCAAGCTATTAGGACCATATTTCCAAAATTCTGACTACCCATATATTTTGAAAGTAATGAATCTAAATATGTCAAAAAAAGGATATATTTATTCATGGAAAGTAAATTTTTGTGCCTGATTTTGTTGCTTAAAATATCATCTGCACAAATTGATTAGATTATTTGAGGTCATCCCCATGAACCATTATTTGAGTCCTAGTTCGTGAAATTCCGCAATTAGATCAAAAGTTATTCAGGCTGTTTCATTTTGTGTACTGTACAATACTTTCTTAATTACTTTATTGAAAAATATAATAGTTTATTGGCAATCTTCAAATTAAAACTGTATCATTGTCTTGTAACAAAGCGCAGATTTCACTTCAACAGAAGTTTTAATGTTATCGGACCTGTGTATCTCGAATCTCACAGGAAAGGCGAAAAATTTGAGATAAAGAGATTTCGAGTTATACAGATCCTTCAGAAAATTAAATTTAAGTAACAAATTCGATTAAAAGGGCTTTAATTGTTTTCAGTAGAAAAATATAGGCTTTTCTGAACATTAATTATACCACATATATCTATTTACTTAAAAAAAATTTTACATACCTTTAACACTGAAAATAATCTTTTTAAAGATTTTTGATGTCTAACCTTCTTTATTTGTTACGTTGTTTACTCATTTGTGCTCAATTGTTAGAAATTCCAGTAAGAGATTTTGAAAAAAAAATTTGAGATAGACATGGAAAATACATTGATTTTATATAGTAAATGTCAGGAATTTTAGAAATTTTGAGATATACAGGTTTTCAAAATAAAGGGGTTTGAGATAAACAGGTTTAACTGTACCTTATATGAGGGTAGGTATTTGTTACAGTCTCAATAAAGTAAGAGCTAGAATTTCGGGAATGTCTGGGCTTTTAAACATTAAAATTTGGTGTCATAGATGCATTTCAATTTTTGAGCATCTTGCATAAATTAATCAACAGCAAAACAAAGTTGAGTGGCTCTCAATATTGTGTTGTTCTGAATATTGTGCTGATCACAAATAAAATTGAAATAATATTAATTAAAATTTAGTAAAATGAAAACTTAATACAAATCTGAGTTATATATATTCAGTAGTAGCTTTTAAAATTTCAGTTACATGCAAATTCATTTATTTAATGCTCTATGTTTTGTATTTCAGACTTGGATATGGCTATTGCTTACTGGAATATAGTTTTAACTGGTCGGTTTAAATTTTTGGACCTGTGGTGTCAATTTTTAAAAGTGAGTTGTCATGGTTTAATATTATTTACTAAAATTTTAATCCTATTATAATCAAAAACTTTATGTGATGTCTTTTCCTGCCTTCTTATGTCTTTAATTCTTCAGCTTTTCATGTGTAATGCGTCTGGATCATTAATTTGTAGGCAACATTCTTTTTTTGGTTCTAAGCCAAGTTGCACTTAGATCGAACCAATCTTTTTCTCTTTGGATAAGGTTTCATTTACATTATCGCTTATTATTGGTTTAAGTATTTCTCAGTAACTTTAAGTCTCCTGTTCAGCAAGATCTGCCTGTAACCTTTCTTGGAATTTATTCTTATAAAGTTCTAAATGCCTAGGTTTTAAAGTTCAATATCTGCTAGCTTCCTATAAGGTGTTTCTTTTCTATAATAGAGTGTTTTTTTTTATCAACATCTAATTTTTGACGACGAAGATGAAAAGTGATTTGAATCCACCTTTGCTCCTCTATAGCAATGCATCCAATAAGTTACTTCGGTGTCTAAGGATTATAAGAAAATGTCTACCCATCAGGTAACCTTAACGTCACTTTATGAATATTCTTATGCTGAAATATTGTGCCACCAATCAGTAATTCTTGCGATTAATTTGCTACAGCAAAGTTGACCAAAAATTTCCATTTGGTATTAGTCACTTGATGTAATCTTGCTCTCGAATATTAGGCTTTATCACAGTGTCATTTTTGATTTCTGCAACGAAATATTCTATCAGAAGTTCATATCACTTGTGGGAAATTCTCAAAAGTATTTTCTAACAAATTATATAAACTTTCCCTATCAGAGTTTTCTCTGTCTTCAGTGGATGCATGAACACAAATTATGCTGATAAAGAATGTCTAAATATAATGAATTTTGTTATATACATCAGAATTTTTAAACTGTCAAAGTACACTAAGTACACTTTTTTTTATTCCAATCACTGTTCATAAGAAAATAATACAAAATATAAAATTGCAATGTAAATGCAGACTCTGGAGAAACAACATTTTAAAGAAACTTGTTGAAGGGCATGCATTTGCTTATAATACTTAATAATTCTGATAAAAATACAACTTTGATAACAACAATGCTATGATAATAACAACTTCATGCTTATTCAAGGTTAATAGTTCTTTGTTAATAAGAATACTACTCTTTTCATAATACTTAAAATAAAATTATTTGGATATAATATTGTTAATGCCATTTTTTTCAGCATTTCATTAATAGAAGCATTTTTTTTATATTTAGGGTAATGTTTAATGTAGTAGAAGATGCAGGGCTTGAAAAACCGCCCGTCCTCGGCGGTCAAAAATTCCCCACGGACAACAAATTTCTCGAATCTAGCGTCCGCGCGGGCAACCATTTTCCCGTTAATGTTCGTGATACATTTTCAATTTTTGTTATCTTCCAAGAGTCTAGCGCCTCACTTCTAAAATGGCCCTCTAATCTCGAAATACAGCAACATACTGCGCATGGTGGAATTGATGTTTTCTCTGTCTGGGAGTACTGCAGCGGTTGAAATGTGCTTTTCAGCAATGAACTTACAAAAAAACACATTACTTACTGGTCTTAAACAAGAAGCGTTAAACGCATTTATGAACATCTACCTAAATGGAAAACCTCTTTCAGATTTCTGTGCAGAAACTGCTGTAAATCATTGGCTTGATTGTGGAACTGGCAAACGTCATATTTGATTCATTTAAAAAACGCAGTACCATCGGATAAATTGACATGATAACTGACATATAACTTAACCTTTGTTATTTAAATTATTTCATCAAAGAAATAAATTATTTCATAATAGAAATACTAGGTTTTACAATTAGTAACCTAGTATTTCTTTTATTACTGTTTCAAAGGAGGACGGGTTAATTTTTGGAAAAATTTCTGAGTTTTTTCGAGCCCTGAGAAGATGATTAAAAGCAACAAACATTTAACCCATTTATTATATGCATTATAATGGCACAAAGTAAGAAATCCAATCGAATAATTATCCTCATTCAATGATGGTTTAATATTTGTGTTATCCCTGCTAAGAGGAACACTAATCAGGGGTCTGTTAAGAAGAAATTTGGGTCTGTTAATGGACCCTTCACATAATTAATATCTTTTCATAAAAACGGACCCTTCTCAAAATGATTTTTCTTTTAATCGAACCCTTCACAAATTTGTTTATCTTCATTATAATAACCCTTCCCATTGAATAAACCCTTACCAGGGTAGAAAACAAGAAAGATGGGTGTAAACGAATTAAATTTTGCCTTCTGCAGACGATTCTTCCATTATTCGTCAGAAATGAATATTCTGCTTTCAGCAGTATAGGCTAAATACCAAATATTTGTGTGTTGCATCTCTAATTTAGTAGCAGCAATTACTATTTATTTTTGAAAATTTAAATTTTTTTAATTATAATTTTACAATGCTAAGCATAATCTTGTATCTATTTACAATTTAAAAACTCCCAGAAAAAGTTTTTTGCAATAACCGGACCCTATTTGCACAAATTCATAAAAGCAGGATCCTGATTGAAATAATGTGAGTAATTTTTTTAACAAAAAACGGACCTTTTACAAAATGTCTGGACAGACCCCTGCTAATTGTTAAATTTGAGCATTGTTTTCTTTTTATATTTCCAACACTTCCACTCAATATGAGCATTAGGGTTTTATTTACCTTTTGCAACTATAAATCATATACGCTAATAGTTTCAAGACATTTATAATGTTTTCAATTTGGTAGTCCTTTGATCAATATATCTGCTCCCATATCACTTGTAGATATCATATCATTTGTAGATTTGTAATATTTGAGGGTGATATGGTAATTTTTGATTGATAATATATTTTGTTCGATTATGATATAATGGATTTTCAGGTAGTTTAAAAGCATTAGAGTTGTCACCAAATAAAGTAACATAACAAAATGTATTTAAATTTAGCTCTTTTAACGCTTTTTGCTTATATAGAGCTTTCTTAACACTTTCAGTTGACAATATATATTCAGATTCTGTTGAAGACAAAGTTACAGTTCTTTACTTTTTAGTTAGTTTCCCTTGAGGTAAAACTGTTACCTAATTTAAAACAATTACCAGTATAAGATCTTTTATCATCTGTACATTTAGCACAATCAAAATCAGTATAACCAGTTATTTGTTCATTATTAAATTTAAACATTACCAAGTCCATTGTTTAAGATTTTAAGTCATTAATGTATGTATATTTAACAGAAGCGCCACCTTTAATTTTCTTTAGATTTATTTGTTTTAAAATTTCATTTTAGGTTGCGTGGCAACCAGATATAGTTGTTTTTTTGTTTAAGTTTGGAATATATTTTTTTAGAATTCGTTTTGATGCTAAATTATTGGTTATTAAAAGGTTAAAGTTTTATATTTGTTGTCATTCATCTGTAGAACTTGTAGTTCATTTGATTGATTTTATTTAAAAGGCGTCTGCATTATTTATTTCAACTTATTAGCGACATTTTGTGGCATCTGCGACAGGACCGTTGATATGCCACTTCTGATTTGAAAAATGTTTTTAGCACCAAAAGAATTTAAAAAGGAAGATCTTATTATTGTTGCCCAAGAAATTGGCGAAGTATTACCTCAAAAAGCTACTGTATCAGATCTGAAAGCAATCATTTTGAAAAGTAAAGAATATTTAGCTGATTCAGATTTTGTAACAAGTGTATTGGCAGCAACTATCAATGATCGACGACAAAAGGAAGAATATGAAAAAAAATTGAGACAAAGAGAATATGAAGAGAGAGAAAATATAAGAAAACATGAACTGGCGTTGGCGAGACTTCAAGCTACATCGTTTGGAACCGGAGAGTCTCCTCCAAATATTATTAGTGCCAGAAAGCAGTTTAATTTTCCAAAATTACAACTTAGGCAATTTTGTGGAGATATAAAAGATTGGCTACCATTTTGGGAACAATTTGAACAAATTCATAACGATACAGATATTGCACCCTGAAAACAAATTTCAATACCTGATTCAAGCTACAACTGTTGGATCTTGAGCTAAAGAAGTTGTAGAAACCTTTCTGTCAACCTCTGCAAACTATACCAAAGCAGTTGATAGCTTCAAAACCTGATTTGGCAAGGATGACCTTTAGGTAGAAGTTTATGTTAGGGAATTGTTGAAGCTCATATTTTCCATTCAAAAGCATGAAAAAATATCTATGACGTCTCTTTATGACAAACCAAACTAGAGTCATGTCTTAGAGCTTTAGAAATGTTAGGTGTTACGACCGTGAGCTTCAATACTATTCCCTATGGTAGAATCTTGTTTCCAAGAAGAGTTTCTGAAAGCATGGAACCGAAGTTCTTCGTGCATTGCTTCTGTTGACGCCAAGGAGCGATTAACAAACATCATGGCTTTTCTGAAGACAGAAGGTGAAGAAAGAATTAATTTGGCCAAGTCAGGTTTTGGCTTGGGATCTGATGAAAAATGCCAGCCCTTTAAGAAGAAAGCAAGAGATTTGCCAACAAGAAGATTTCCAACAGCAGCAAATCTATTGACTACAGGTGTAAAGGATTTGAAGAAAGGGTGTGTTTTTTGTTCTGGGAAACATAAAAGTTCAGATTGCTTTTCCTCTCAAAATATGACTTTAGCTGGAAGAGAGAACATAGTAAGAGAAAATCGATGTTGATTTGCCTGTTTAATGCAAGGACATTCAGTTCGTAAGTGCAAAGCTATTATAAAATGTGTCGTATGCGGTAAAAGACACGTGGTACTAATGTGTGAATCTTTAGCTGCAAGAAATCGTGAACCCGATAAATCTGGGCAGAAAAGTGAAAGTTCTGAAATAAACATGTTCAACATTACGTATGGTCCGAAAGTGTACCTTCAAACTATGAAACTAAAGCTGATATTTGATAGAAAAGAAATTGTGGTAAGAGCAGTTTTAGATTCTGGATCACAAAGAACATATATTTTAAAAAATTTGACTGAAGAGATGGAATATGTTCCCTTGAGAAAAGAAACTCTCATACACT